GAGAGAGAGAGAGAGAGAGAGAGAGAGAGAGAGAGAGAGAGAGAGAGAGAGAGATATCACTGCATGTGCTATCCCCTAAATGAAATCTTGAGAGAAGCCTCCTAATACCATACCCTTCAGGATTCTGCACTAGTGCCCACAGTATGCATGGAGGACATAAAATGGATCAATATCAATCTGGAAGAAAGAAGTTAGGGTAAAATTCTCCTAAGCCAACTAATTCTTTCCCAGTCTTTCATCAGTCTGATAATTTCAACAAAAGGTCAATGTTGGGTTTTTGTTTGTTTGTTTGTTTGTTGTTAAATGTTACTGCAATTTGTTAAGTTGTGTAGACATTCGGTTTAATATACCATTTTCTTCTAAATATAAATTTACAAGGCATTGGGATCTAAATTGAGACATATGCTACTACATGACATCTCATCAACAGTGAGCACAAACAATTCTAAACAGACAAAGGAATAGAAAGCCAGATGTGGTGGCACAAATCTATACACTTGGAAGGCACTAGGAGGATCACTGAGTTTGAGTCTAACTTGGGCAATGAGTTCTTGTCTCAAAAATTAAGAACAGATGTTAACTTGGACTATGAAGTGATATGAAATAAAATACGGACAAACAGAATTCGCTTTCTGTAAACAATTGGAAACCCAATCCTTGATAGATGGTTCCCACCAAGAGAAACATTAAGACCTCAATGTCATAGCTTCACCTAAAACTTATCAGTTTTGCCTTTCCTAAACTTCTCTACATTCCTACCCTTGAGGGAATAAGTCATATATCCCTCTTACTTACATTCACTTATAGACACAGCATCCTCCTCCATGCTAGCTCCCCTTTTTGCTATTCCCACTTATGGGCACGCTCAGGAGATTCTTTACAACCTGCAGGACTTACTCATTCTCTAAACATCTAAGATCATGTTCACATTTACGTCTTCATGTCTGCTAGCTGTTCTGCATCACTGTCAGCATGTTATGGGTTTTTTTTTTATGGCTACACACATTTGAACTTAAGAAGCTTTCCCTGCATTAAAACTCTGTGCCTTCATACCAGTGTGACATTTACCCTCTCTATATCTGCATCTCCTTTTCTGAAAGAAACATAATCATGGCATTACTGTCAAGAAAATATAAGACAGTGCCTGAGAGAACTTAAGTCTCACTGGAGTTACTATCAAGAATACACTGCAGCTGGGTGGTGGTGGCACATGCCTTTAATCCCAGCACTTGGGAGGCAAAGGGAGGTAGATCTCTGAGTTCAAGGCCAGGTAGGTCTACAGTGAGTTCTAGGACAATCATGGATACACAAAGAAACCTTGTCTTGAAACAGAAAAAGAAAACAATAGAATTCACTGTAAAGTCTAACCCATTTGATTGTATTTCTAACCTTGAGAAACAAGCGCTTCTCCTATGTACTAGGGCAGAGATAAGAACACATTTTAAGATTTTTTTTAAATCAGGCTGAGAAATATAAGAAGTCTTGGGCTGTAAATATAATATTGCTTATTATTGCTGTTCTAGATCAGTCACAGAACAACTAACCACCTAATATTGCTGATTTTTTTTAATAGTCTGGAAAATGGATTCAGGGCTGGAGAGATGGCTCAATAGTCAAGAACACTTATGGCTCTCGCAAAGGACCTGGGTTCAGTTCCCAGCAACCACATGGTGGCTCATAACCATCTGTAACTCTAGCTCCAGGAACCAACCCAACACCCTCTTCTGGTCTCCATGGGCAACAGGAACTCACATAGTACACATATGCAAGCAAATCATTCAATACATATTATCAAGCCAAAGCCAAACACTTAAAACACTCATTAGACACATAATAACTTACAGGTAGGTATCTTTTCAATTCTTTTTAGATTCCATGAGAACACTTGGCCTCAAATTTCTAAATCATTTGTTAAAAGGACAATGCTTTTTGCTATCTTAAAGGAAAATTTCAGTACTGTAAACTGAAATTCCCTTTCTAAAGTAAATAGCCTCTGCTCCATTCATATAAAAGAGTCCTCCTTAAAAATACTCTCCTTGTACTATTTTAGGATTATTTTTTAAACATTGCAAGAGTATAATAAAAGTATCATTCATTTTGACATTTTCATAAAAATGTAACTAGTGCAACCACAGACAAAGCCTTAATTATCCATGAAGAAACTATAGAAACTAAAGACAAACACTATAAATATCTGTCAATTGAATAATCTAATAAAACTCTTAATCTCTTCGAGGGTATTTAAAAGTTTTATGTCTTAAAAAAGAGGTGGGTGTGACTCTATTTACTTGATGAAATTCTTGAAGCAGTTTCTCCTTGAGTTTACTTCTGGAAAAGAAATGGAAGACAAAGAAAGCAAAGAACAAATACCAATATTGAAACTGCATACCTTCACAAAACAACAACAATAATAACCTAAGTGCTTGAGAGGTTCAATCTAATAAGGATTAACCAAAGGCATTAAGCTGGTTTTTGAAAATGCAGTTATTGTAGTAGATTGATATTCAGTAACCCATGTTTTACTTTGAAGTATCAGAATGTTAGGTATGGAAGACAAGATACTTCTCAAGTAGAGTCCAAAGGAAATAATAAACATTTCTATTTTTTCAAACAAAATGTTCAATAACTTTAAGAATAAGTTTTCTTATATTTTGAAACACAGTCTAAACACACCCACACATGTTGGCAAAAGACAAAGTTCAAGGTTCAGGGTTCTAGTGACTTCATATAGCCTTCAGTTCTATTCCAAATCCTACTAAATGTAAATAACAACAACCCAGTAGCCTGGGACCTCTGCCATTCTAAAGCTAGAGGAGTTTTCTACATTCAAATTCCTGAGCCCACACATCTGCCCCTGCCACTGTTGGGCCTTTATTTTTCCTCCTGGGGTTGCTGGAACAGAGGCTCTTTCATTTCACAGGAGTATGCATTCAGCTTTCACCTCAGTTTACCCAATGCTCCTCAGATATACTAAAAACTGTTATTCTAAGTTAACAATTGGCAAATGAATCAATGAAGAAAACTGATTGCTATGAAGAGGCGGCAACTCAGTTGCCACGTTCTTTTCCCAGTTTTCACCAGTCTTGAAGGAGTGGATTTTAGAAGGAAAATCTTTCGAAGGAAAAGCAAAACTCAAAATAAGTGCCAATGTGTGAGTTGGGGGGGTAGGGGGTGGTGGAGGGGGAGGTGGGTATGTCTCATACTACATTAAATTAAAAAAAAAAAAGGCCTCATACTCCCAGAAGAAAAAGAAGGGGTGGAAAGGAGGAAGGAGGAGGAAGAGAAGGAGGAAGAAGCAAAAAAAAATTGTTCCTAACTTTCTACTATTTTGTAAATTATATACCCCACCTGCACACTCTCAAAATAATTCCATTCCAGTGGTTTCACAATAATTCCAGCACCTCAGGAGTCTTCCCCTCCCTTCCCATCAGTACCCTCATCCTTTACAGACATGCTCTACTTCCCTGAACTCGGTACTTTGAGCATATTTGTTAAATGTCTCACTTTAAAAAGCCTGAAAGGCACTTGTTTTTTATTTTACTTGACTTCACCTAACCTTGTGAAGTCCCTTTACCAGTTATCTCCTAAACTTGGTAGTTTTCTTTTTCCTTTAGAAACGAAAATGTGGCACTAACGTCTCAAGGCAAACAAAGCTAACTCCACGAAAAAAAAAAATGAAATCGACGCAACAAAGGAAGAAAGGAAAGAAGGGGGGTATTGTGGGCGGTGATGCTTTCGTCTTCTAAGGAGAAGCTTCCAGTGTAACTTCTGCAATTTAACGGTTCTGAGGTGGAAGAGGACTAGTGTGTTGGAAAACAACAAAGGTGGGCTCCCACTCTCCTTACCGCCGTAGAGCCAGAAGAAGATGCAATATACACATGGATCACCATCCTGGAAACAGGGGCTTCTCTGGTCGATCGCTGGAGTCGTGAAAGGAGCTGGGAAACAGCTGCGGCACGTCTGGAACCGAGCTAGGGGCCAAACAGAGGTTGGATGAGGAGGGTGGGGGAAGGTGGAAGGGGAACTGGCCAGAGCCCCGCCTCCACCGGCGGCTGCTTTCAATGAGCTTCCAGCACTGCAGTCCCAGCCCCAAACCCCGGAAGGCTCAGGCTCATTTGCATCATTTCTAAATTGTTTTTTTTAAAACACAGGATCTCGAACAGCACCGCGAGATCTGTTGAAACAATTCCTTTTGACTATTCCCTCTCCGGGAAGGGGGCGAGGGGAGAAATAAAAGAAGGGGTAGAAAAAAAAAATCACTCGATTAGAATAAAGGACCTTTTCCCATGAACACCAGAAGTTTTTTGTGTTACTTCCTGCTCAGAAATGTATGCAAAAAAAAAAATAGCCGAAAGCTAACTTTGTCTTGAATCAAGACACTAGTTCAAATTCCTTTAAACCCACGTTATCAAAGCCTTGTATATTTTAAGACACCAATAATGAAGTGAGTGATTTTTAAAAAAAAAAAAAAAAAAACCTTAGTTGGCAGCAGGAATTGAGTGCTGAAAAGTGCTGTGCGAGGAGGAGGGCTGGAGAGAAGTTTCAAGTTTCCCCAAACCGGAAAGAACAGAATAGGTTTTCTTTTTGTTTAGAGTTTTGTTAATATATGGAATAAATTCTTCAGTGAGAATTTGCAGGAGATCTAAGCGACAGCTCTAGAATGAAGGAGAAAAAAAATATTCTACAACCCTACAATGAGAGGAAATTACAGAGAAAAAAATCAAAACTCCAAAATGAAGGGGGAAATTGCAGAGAAAAAAAATCACCTGAAAATACTTTAGAAGTACTTTTTGCCCTTGGTGTCTCGTACCTGTAATCTCTGCACTTGGAATAGTAAGACATGATTGCCAGAAATTAGAAGCTAGACTATGCTACAATGTGAGACTATTAAAAACCAAAAACAACCAAACAAAAAAGACTTTTTACAAGTTATCAAGTACAGTAAACTAGAGTAATCTAGCCACCATGTTCATCACCAACATCATGACTACTGTTAATTTTACTTGCCAATTCACATGACAAGAAAAATATAATCATAAGTCATGATTTTGAAAAAAATTATATTGTTTCTTTTACATTTATCACTGTACAGCTTGCTTGGAGTTCTACATTAACTGTCTGGACTTATAGACTCTTAAAATAATGAAAAAAAAACAGGAAGAACAAAATATTTCTAATTAGTCTATAAACTATTGAATGCAATCAATTACTCCCAGAAAACTGAATGGTAGCATTAGCAGAGAATCTGGTGGGCTTTATCTATACCTTAGAGAAATGAGGCTGGACATGTAGTTCTCTTATAAATCACACTAAGACCCAAAGTTGGATTTCTAGTACCACACACACACACACTTGTGTAATAGATATACTTGTCTTAGTGAATATAAGCCTATAACTTGTTTAATACATAAAACCTGTTGATTCGTAATGATAAGACTTTGATACATTTTTTAAGGAGGAACTATTACCAATATGTCTAAGGTAAAGATGATGGATATTGTTATACCATTCGGCTTTTTCCTCACTACTTTCAGCTATCCTTGAGATGGGTATCATAGACTAGTCATTCTAGAATGCCATTTCTGTTTAAATCTTCTATAGAGACATTGTCCTAGATCACTTGCTTTTATTATTTGCCTGGAAAAGTTACAGTCAATTTGAATAAACTGGGTTGGATCAAAGAGTTTTCAAATAGCACGTATAATCCATTCCCTTAGAAAATCATGACAACTAAATGCCAATGCCTTTCAAAAATTAAAAATAAACCCAGATTGTGTGCAGAAAACTTAGAAAACATTGAACACCATGCATGCCATGTGCCCATAGTCCCTGCTACTCAATTAAGAAGATTACTTGGGTTCAGAAATTCCAAGCTAGCACAGACAACTTAACAAGATCATGTCTCTTAATTGAATACAGCTCCAGTACCTAAAGATAATTACCACTGTGTTACAGATCAGCTTCTCCAGGTAGAGGAGATAGAGCAGGCAACAAGTAGTTAAAAGTAATGGTATGGAAGGAAAGGGTACTTCGAATATGTATTTATTATAAAATGCTATTTTGTAAAATTCTGCATACAAAAAATATACTTATGTATTCTCCCATGTTAAAAAATATGATTTTAAATGGTTTTATGTGTTTCAAATTTATAGGCATACCAAAAGTTATATAAACAATTCTCTCGGCTAGTTTTTTGACAGCTTGACCCAAGCTAGATTTATCTGGAATGAGGTACATCAAGTCAGAAAAATACCTCCTTCAGATTGCCTGTAGGAAAGTCTGTGGGGCACTTTCTTGATTAACAACTGAGGTGGGTGGAACAAGAGAACTGATGCCTAAAAACTGTCCTTTGATCTCCATACATACACTATGGCACCATGTGAGACCATGCGTACATGAACACCACACAAACAGACATACACAGACACACACACACACACACACACACACCATGTGTATTGTTCACACACAATAATAATAATAACGATGATAATAATCACAATTTTAAATTTTTATTATTTGACGTAGAACTGCTGATAAACTGAATAGACTCTGGAGATGACAGCCCAGTGTCACTGTTGACTAGAATGAAAAAAGAATGTTAACTGAAGAATTAGTTAATGTTACCCTAGTCACGATGGTTGGATTGTGGAGATTTGAGCTAAGTGCTTCTGTTTTGGTTGCAGAGAATAGTCTGAATATAATATTCATTCATTCATTCATTCATTCATTCATTTACTTATTTATTGTGTGTGTGTGTGTGTGTGTGTGTGTGAGAGAGAGAGAGAGAGAGAGAGAGAGAGAGAGAGAGAGAAGAATGAGAAGAATGTACCTGTTTAACTGTGTCTGTAGTTTCTGGCCTGCACACACAAGAAGCCTTAGGACAGATTATAGAAGTCAGTTCTCTCCCTCCTGCCACACTGTGGGATTCAAAGATCAAACTTAGGTCATCATGTCTTCCTGCAAGGGCCTCTACCCACTGAGTCATCTTGTCAGCCCAAAGGTCATTTTTTTTAAACAGGTCCTACTCTACATGCCTCTCCTCCCAGTAACATCCCTTGATTGACCTGCAGTAAACATTCTTGCCGGGCGGTGGTGGGGCACGCCTTTAATCCCAGCACTTGAGAGGCAGAGGCAGGCGGATCTCTGAGTTCGAGAGTTCGAGGCTAGCCTGGTCTACAGAGTGAGTTCCAGAACAGCCAGGGCTACACAGAGAAACTCTGTCTCGAAATAACGAAAAAAAAAAAAATTCTTTACTTTTTTAAGGTAGAGGTTACTATTTACATATTCTAAATTCCATTTGCTAGAGTAGATCCCCATGTGGCAATGGTCATGAGTGTAGCATTCCTTAAACTACATATTTTAGTTCCCTGTCCTGGATTGTTGGTCCAATGATTGCACAGGTGTATACTAAGACAATTTCAGTGATCTCACCATTGGTAGTATTAGGGAGTATAGCATGTGCTTGTAGGGAATAGATTGAATTTTTAAAAGCATCAAAATTGAAGATCTTTCTCATAAAGTGAGGCTCTGTAGAGAAGAATCTCAATAATCTCTACAAAATGACTTGTAAAATGTGGCATACAATAAGAAGTAGAGGAAACCTCCAATCTAGAGACTCTACCTTGTGTTTCAAATTTCATTTTATCACTCCTCGTAAAGTATTATCTGTACCCATTAGAGATTCCACTTCATAATGAGATACCTCTCTCCTCCTAATTTGATCTTTTTCATATCTTACTTAGAATTAAAAATTCCAGGGAGATTCGTCTTTACATGCACACACCGTGGGAAAAGAAAACCTTTCCTTTTATCCTTTTTAATATTTACTTGTTTATTTATGGAGTTCCCCCTGATTTGTGGTGCGTGTGTGTGTGCATATATGCACACACTAATGACATGAGATTGGAGGGTGGGAGTCTGTTCTTTCCTTCCACCATGTGATTCCTAGGGATCAAAATCAGATCACCAGTCTCAGTGACAAACATCTTTACCCACTAAACCATCTTACTAGGCCTAAAAATTGTTTTTTTCTTACTCGGTCCAAACATTTGACCACCTTGGCAGAAAAAGCTCTAAATAATCTCTGATCTCCTTTTGACTGCAACTAACCCTGCCTTGCTACCTCCCTCCCTCCTTCCTTTCTTCCTTCTTTCCTTTTGCTTCTTTTTAAAATTGCTTTGATGGAGCTGAAAAGATGGTTCAGTAGTTTAGAAGCACTGGCTGCTCTTCCAGAGGACCTATGTTCAATTCCCAGCTCAAAACAGTCTGTAATTCCTATTACAGGGGAATCTGATGCCCTCTTCTGGTCTCCACAAGCACTACATGCCCATGGTGTCAAGAGATGCATGGAAAATACCCATGCACATAAAATAATAATAAAATTTAAAAACTCAAAAAATATTTTAAGGGTAACCTGAACTACATAGGGAAGGTAGTTTGTTTAGAGGGTTTTTTACTTTATGTATATGAGAATTTATCCTGTCTGCCTGACTGTTGGTATGTGTACCACCTGCATGCCAGATGCCTTTAGAGTTCAGAAGAGAGCATCTGATAGCTGGAACTGGAGTCACAGATTTACAGACCTTTGTGCCCCACCAAGTGAATGCTTGGAATCAAACCCAGGTCTCCTGCAATGGCAGCCAGAGCTCTTAATCACTGAGCAAGAATATGCTTTAAGGGATGTTTCTGGCCTCCACAGCCACCAGACAGAAACAAAATGCTCAGGTGTTGTGAATATGAATAACACAGCTATTCATATTAAAATAAAGAAATTAAAATACATATTTGTATTTATTCCCTGAGAATTTTAGACATGATTATAATGTATTTTAATCAAATCTACCCAAGACTCTTTTTCAACTCTTCACAAACTCTGTCTCCAACATTTTCTTCCCAACTTTCTGTCCTATTTTTCTCTTTCTTTTTTTATTTGGTTGTTGTTGCTGTTGTTTTGGTTCAGTTTGGTTTGGGTTTGGGTTTGGGTTTGGGTTTGGGTTTGGGTTTAGGGTGGTTTGGTTTTGTTTGTTTTGTTTCTGAAATGGTTCCTGTATA